GGCTCAGCCCATTTCTGCCAAAGACATTCAGAGATTTCGGATTAGCTTTGACTGCCTCTCTGAACCGAACACCTAAACCTTGGGGTCCCCCGTCACTACAAACCAACTTCAGTACCCTCTGAGGAGGGACATCGTAGATGAGACAGATTGGACAAAACTCGCCTGTTGGACTTGGCTTAGGAGCAGTGGCTCATTTCTGCCAGGATCACTGGCGGGGGGGGGGGGGGGGGGGGAAGAGGGAGATAATTATGAAACTCTGTAGAGAGGCAGGATGGTCCAGCGGTTAGGGCACAACCTAGGCCTGGGTTCAATTTCCTGCTTCACCAAAGACTTCCTGTGTGACCTTGGGCAAGTCACTTAGTTTCTCTGTGCCTCAGTGTCCTATCTGTAAAATGGGGATAATAGAACTGCCCTGCCTCACAAGAGTGTTCTGAGGATAAATGCAGTAAAGATTGTGAGGGGTCAGATACTACGGTGATGGGAGCCATGTAAATGTGATAGATAGATAATCCCCTTCACCCACAAATGGGGGATATATTTTAGCCTATAGACTGCCAACTCCTTAGGAGTCTCCTGTACTTTGTTGCCACCATGTATCCTCTGCCCTCCCCCCCAGTAATGCAGCTGGATGTCTTCGAAACAAACAAGGCCACAAAAGGAAAATAAAAGACCATCTCCCCATGGCACTGAGCTCAGAGGCTCGGCACTAAACATCCGCTGGAAATCAGTCTGGAAAAACAATAAACTCCCTTCGAAGGCGTTACTCCACCAGGGAGTTACCCAGCAATCCAGAAACCAGACTGTCATTAGGCAGACAGAGGAACAGCTGCGTGGAAAGGAATTCTCTTCAGAAGGCTGCCGGACCTACGCTCACACAGGAGCTTGCTTTAAGGCCAATGCTTGCATGGCTTTGGCAGAGCAGCCCAACTAAGGCTAAAGAAGCCAATGGGTCTGAACTGGGTAAAATGTATGAGTGCAAAAGCCAGAGATGGGCTGGAGTCTTGGGGCTAGAGTCTGCTCTCAGTTATACCTGTGTAAATCTGGAGTTACTGACTACTCTGTCTCCAATGGAGTCACTCAGCTTTGCACTGGTTTAATTGGGATGAGCTCATCTAGTCTATTCTTCTGCTGGGACATTATATTTTATGATTGTTATTCATTTGTATTATGGTTAGCGCCTTAAAGGCTGCAGCAGAGGTCATGGCCCCATTGTGGTAGGCACTGTAAAAACACCTAATGAGAGACAGACAGCCCCAACGTGACTGCCATTTAAATAGACAAGACAGACCAAAGGAGGCAGAAAGGTCTTATCTCCATTTTACAGTTGGGGAAACTGAGGCCCAGAGCAATGAAGTGATTTGCCCAATGCTAAATGGGAAATTTAGTTGTAGAGGTAGGAATTGACCATTTGGTTTTGTCCCCAACTGGAATGAAAACAAATATTTTTTAAATTGCCTTTGAAGGAGGATTTCCTAAAAATGTCAGTCTCAAAAAATGTTTGTTTTGGAATTCCGAAATGTTGTCTGGAATTTTAGTGTATGTGGGTTTTCTCCCTGCCCCCCCCCGCCCCCGTTTATATTATTTTCACTCTCGTGTAGCATGCCTGTAATAGGAGGGCATCACATGGTTCAGTCCATTACAGAAATAGGTGCTAACTGTGCAGCTCAGAGATGGATCCAACTCTTCCCTAGTTTGGGGTGTTCCGGTCTGGGGGTTTCATAATACACATCACTACGGCTATCATGTCATAATAGAATAGTTAGAATAGCCTATTCTTTTTATTCTATTTTCAAAATCATTAAGGGCACCTGCTTCTTAGTACTGATTGAAGCAGCTTCTCTTGATAAAAGTGTCTTCTGTTTGGGTTGTAATGAGACAGCAAGACACTTTGACAGAATGTCAAAGACACTGTTCTGCAATCTAATACCTGTCCCATCCTTGCTGCATAGTGGCTCTTTGGGTCTACGGAGATTGCATATATATATATATGTAAAGGGCACACACAAATGTAAGGGTGTGTGTGTGCACACACACACCTATCTATGTATCTATCTATGTATCTATCTATCTATCTATCTATCTATCTATCGCCTGCAATCTTCTTAGACCCAAAGAGCCGCTATGTACCAAGGATGGGACAAGTATATTTATTATAAAGTTAATTTCATGCCCTTGCAAGGTGCCAGGCTGCTAACTCTGGGGAATGGAATCTTCTATTTATCCACAGAGCAGGTGGCAGTAATGAAACGTGTGCTTTCAACCCACAAGCCCTGATTCAGCCAGTCTCTCCAGAAAGCTTGGAAACCTCTTAGAATCTGGCCCAAATTTTGGGTTTAAACTCCAAACTAAGGAAAGTCTACCTGGATTGCTGTTAGATGCACACACTTCTGGTACTGCAGCTCTATACACACAACTATTGTTTTACAGTATAGCTTTGGTGTAAAAAGACTGCAACTCCTGCTAAAATAATTTAGAGTTGCACTTATTTACACAGCGCTTAACTTGGCCCAACATAGCCTGTAAACAGCAAAAGAGCATGGAAAAGATGTCTACAGCTTTCCATTGGCCCATCTCCTATGTGTGCCCTTTACCTATGGATAGAGGTGGGAGAGGGTTCCTGATTGGAGCTGGGGCAATAGAGGAAAGATTTTTTCCTATGTATCTGCTCAAACTCAGCAACAAATGGTGATTTAGAAGCATGCATGACTTTTTCACGGTCACTTTCTGCGAAGGCTCAAGCTTTCCCAATGCTCAAAAAAAGGGAATGTTTCATGCAAATATTCACCCTACCAGAATTGAAAATCATTTATCTGCTTGCAAAATGTGCAATTCGCACTGCTCCCTTGAGTCAGGCCTTGTCTACATACAGAAGTGGTGCCAATTTCAGTAAAATTGGTTTTAAATAATCATTTTTCTATTTTCCTAGCAGCAAGGAGCCCTAGCCATGGACCAGCACACCATTGTGCTAGGCGCTGTACAAACACAGAACAAAAAGACAGTCCCTGCCCCCAGGAGATTACAATCGAAGTATAAAACATGAGACAACAGATGGATACAGACAGATGGGGGAGCACATGGAAAAATCACTCCCTTTAGTTAAATAGGTGCAAATTTGTTATGTAAGTGTCAGAGTGATTTGTATATTCATTTGTGACATTCTCCCTTGGAATGTTATGTGGACCAACAACCATATCCTGAAGAAATTTGCAAACGATTTGGGATAAATCTGATTATTTTGTGATCATCCAGCTACGGGTGGTGGGGGTGGTGGCGAGTTCAAATCCATCAGTTCAGTTATTTGTTGTAAATTATTCATTCAGCTCATCTTAGCTCCTCTTACAAAATATGGGTGGGGTTTGCACTGGTTTAACGGTGCTCCTCTCCCGTCAGCGGTAAAACTCCCATTGTTTTCAGTGGGAGCAGAGTTAGACCAATGCCAAATGCTTTTGAAAATTCCATCCTACATATCTGACTGCATTGCCTAACTGTGTTGCTGCACTGGCCAGACGGGAGACTTCTCCAGCTCTCTGTAGATTATAAGAGTTATACACCATCAGTTTGTAAGAAAATACACACTTGTTGGTCTCCCACACCTTGCTGGGCAGCACATTGTTCCTGATCAGTTTTCTACCTTTCATTTCTCACAACTGTTCCACTCCAAGTCATACCCCTCTGAGCCCCGGAAGGATGAAGTCAGGGGCAGAAAAAAGGAATGCAAATGCAGTGGATAGAAAAGAAAATGGATGAGCTGGAGTCATGTAGGATCTATCTACTTATAAAGCCTCTCTTATCGTCACATCTGAGCTCCTCACAGTGTATTTATCCTCACAACACTTCCAGGATGTAGGTGTAACCCACACATCTCCTAGGTGTGGTGCTCTGTCCCATCAAGTGGCCCTAAGGCCACTTAGAAAGAGATTAATGAGTCTGCTCTACAGCCTTAGCTACCAGCCACATGGCTTTTAGCTCATGCATTTAGCTTCAAAGGTCCCAGGTTTGATCCCACCTGCCAACAACTGGGGTCTAACAGCCTTACAAAGGGAAGTGTTGTTATCCCTATTTTACAAGCAGAGAGTGCTAAGGGATTTGCCTAGGGTCCTATAAGAAACATAAGGCAGAGGAGGGACTTGAACCAAGGTCTCCCAAGTACCAAACTACTGGGCTCAACACTGGATCACCCTTCCTCTCTGGGTAATACTATAGCTCCTTTCAAAGAGTAATCCATCAGGCTATTCACTATCCCTGTTTGGTAGCCCACTGCAGGAGCTTACTAAAGCAAAATGGGCTATTAAAAGAAGAGCAGGCCCTCCCAGGGTAGGGCGGTGCTGGGGGGGACAGGACCAAAGAGGTTTAACAAAATCCTGCTACCTTTGAACACAGGGTTATTTACACCATGCTGGCTTTTGAGCAGCCATAGTCAGTGAATGTCTCTCTCATATTTTCTCCTCCTTCAACAAATTCCAGAGGAACACAGGACTTGCCAGCCTGGCTCAGAGCCAGTTCAATATCCTGGCTCTGATGGTGGTGCACACCAGTTTCTTTGGAGGAAGGTCAAGAACTCCAAAAAAATGGAAAATTATGGAATAATCTCCCCATAACCTCATCACTTAGTAGTTGGTTTAGTCATTGAAGAGAGTCTGTATTTTTTTTTTAACCATATAGCCATGGATGTTCCTATTATCTATATAAATATGCAGGTCTTTGTTGACTCCTACTAAGTTCTTCCCCTCAATGATACCTTGAGGCAGACGGTTCCACAGGCTAATTTTGGTTGGTGTCAAACAATATTTCATGAGGTTAGTTTTGATTTGCCTTTCACTCCCTTTTGTTCCTCTTCTTCCTCTCTCTCTCTCTCTCTTTCCCTTTCTCCTCTCTCTTCCTCTTCCCCTCCGTTTATCATCCAAGTGCAGAGTGAGATGTTCAAAACTCACCACAGCCTGTTTCCCTCCCCCTCGCCCCCCTGCAAGTAAACATTGCACCAGCATCAGAGGGGTACTTACTTTCCCTGAGGTAACTGAGGTGAGACAACAGAACTTCTGTGTTGTAAAGGGAGGTGGCTCGGAGGAAATCTTCTTTGTTCATTTTGCACAGTTCCTTTCCGTCCATGTTCTGGAAGAGGGATGTGTCAATCTCCATTAATCCATACTCCTTTATAGCCCACTCCAGCCACTGGCGCACGTGTTCCTGGGTCCACAAGGTGGGATCTGGCAGAAGAAGAGACAGCTGGTAAATACCAGGCCCAAAGGGACAGCCTGTCACAGGAGTGTCACGCTAACAGTCAGTTAGCCCATTAATAATATTAGTAATAGAGCACATTTCATCTACACATCTCAAAGGTGGGAAAGTATAATTAACTCTGGTTTACACATGGGGAAATTGAGGTACAGGGCAGCAAGGGACTCACCCCTAGTGAGATAATGAATCAATAGCAGAGCCAGGAGTAGCATCCAACTCACTTGGTTTGCACTCAGATGCACTATCTCCCCGGCCACCTTTGTAGTAGCTGATGTATGACTCACCTCTTTGAATAAAAAGCTCATCCCTTTGAAGAGATGTACTTGTCACACTGTTAGGTGCCTTTAAGCTGCACAGATATAGCAGGGATATGGAAGTCACCCAGCCTGTCCTGAGTGCATTACAAACTCCTAACAGATGGCTTTTTAAACTTTGAGAAGGGTGGTTATTATGGTCAGCAAAGGGAGTCTAAAAAATTCTTGCCTTAACAGCTCTGTTAACCATGTATCTCTGAGTCACGTTTGCTGACTCAGCTGACAAACACAAGTTTTCAACCCCATTAGCCTTGCAAAACCAACATAGCTATTGGAGGGTGAGCTGGATTCTATACTGTCTCGTGCATCGTTGCCAATTGTCAACGAAGGTCCAGTTGCAGAATTGTTATTAACGGCAACGATGGAAGAGACGGATGGCATTCAGCTGGAGGTGTCAGCACCCATGTTGAGAGTTCGCTGCACCGGCAGTTACAAATGGAAATCATCCTTTGAGTTTTAAGATGATGGGTTGGATCAGAAAGTCCCAGAGAAAATTAAGTATGCCGTCTTGATACCGTTTATACAGACTCATTTTCAGAGCCTATCTCCACTGCCAGATTCTTCCTGTGCTTTTTTTCTCATGTTCCCTCATCTGGAAATTTGAGCCACAAATTAGGTTCTCTTGCAAAATTACTTGAATTTAGGGAGTGGTCTGTGCCCAGACTCTGGGTCCTATCACCCTGGAACTTTGGATCTGGGCCTGTCTTTACATCTGGCACCTCTCTCTATGAGGGACTCTATTCAAATACTCAAGAACTTTGGCAGAGTTAGGCTAGAGACTAGAACTTGATTGCATGACCACGTCTCAGCTGGCAATTCCTGCTTTTGATGAGACTGGAAGTATCCAGCATCACAGTTTCCTGCCACTTCAATTTCTGGTCCCTCCACACTAGAATATCCAGAGATGTGGGGCACAAATCATGACTGGGTGTTTAGCATAGCTTGGGGGATGGGATTGGCTGGCAGCCCATGCCACCCAAGCATCCCCTTATACAGAGGGCATCATCTAGTGGCTGCATCTGCTGGGTTTCAGGGCTGCTTCATACCAGAGTGAAATGGCAATGGAAAATCACTCCAGAAAATACTAAAAATACATAGTGAGATTTACTTACCTACTTCCTAATAGCACCTGAGCTCTTTAAAATTGAATTTTAACCATATAAGTTACTATCCTTCACTGTTAATTTACTTTTTGCATTTCCTCTGAGTTTAGGCAATGAAAATACCCTGATCAGCTGCACTTCTGTTTCCATCCAGTTTCTTGCCATTTCACTTTCAAGTTCTGGAGAAAGTTGGCCTTTCGGTTGTAAATATTGAAGGGGAATGTTTAGTTAGTTAGTTTTGTAAGATCCCAACATTTAGGGCCCAGGTTGACCTGACAGAATCCCTGAAACATTTTTCTAAATCTCAGGCATGTTCATTAACAATGTTGGGAGAAGATTCTGGAGAGTTCCTTTGGGTCATACATCACTCATTCTGGCCTTTCTGTCCCTATTAAACACATCACACTTCAATGTCAAAAAGTCCCTGAAAAACTGCCTTCATAGCACATTAGCTAGAGTTTACTATCATTGCTGTGTCAGCTCTTAGGTAACAGTATTCTTGCCTCTCTCCACTACAGTGCGCTCCCTCCAGTCAATGTTGATGCTGAAAACATGTCCCTTTCCATCATTCTACTTAGGTCATTCGCCTTTCTGAGGGTAAAATTCACCCAATGCAGAGGCCTTAACTGGGCTTAAACGGGACCTTGAGCACAGGGGTCAATCTTTTATTGGCTTCCCCTCTCTTACTGCATTCAGTTCAAACATCTTGTCCTTATTCCAAATGGTAAACAAATGCATTGGAATTGTCATCTGTTCACGATCAGTTCATGAACTGAAAAAAGAGCTAAATTCGACAAATACACCTCTTTCTGCCGATAAACTGGAGAGAGTTCCGAGAAGAGCCATGAGAATGCTTAAAGAATTGGGGAACATGCCTTACAGTGATAGACTCCAGTAGCTCAATCTGTTTAGCTTAACAAAGAGAAGGTTAAGGGATGACTTGATCACTGTTTATCAGTACATGCATGGGGAACAAAAAATTAATAATAGGCTCTTCAGACTAGCAGGAAAAGGTATAACAAGATCCAGAGGCTGGAAATTGAAGCTAGACAAATTCAGATTAGAAACAAGATGCAATTTTTTTATCAGTGAGGATAATTAACCATTGGAACAATTGACTAAAGATTGTGATGGATTCTCCATAGTGGGCCATTTTAAAATTAAGATTGGATTTTCTCTGGTTCAAACAGGAACTAACTCAGAGAAGTCCTGTGGCTTGTGTTACACAGGAGGTCAGACTAGATGATCACAATGGTCCCTTTTCACCTTGGAATCTATGAATAGTTCATTAGCTGCATCCTTCAGAACATAGGGGGAATCCTGGTCCCACTGAAGTCAATGGAAGTTTTGCCATTTACGTCAATGGGCTGAGAACTTCGCTCATACAGTTTCCTTCATAGGGAAGTCCCTATGCTAAAGTGGTTATACACAAAGAGTTTCCAAACTTTGCAGAGGAAAGACGCCCTCACCTTCCAAGCGTAAATTCTGCAGGTTCCCCACAGCAGTGATTCCCAAATCCCTGATCATCTGAATGGATTTCATGTGCCCTGTTACATTTGCATAGGTACGGTTAGATATTGTATAAGGCCACACCGCTGCTTGGGAAATTTCCAACAAAATAGTTTTTTGATAGAAAATACTGAAATTTTCTGATTTTTCATTGGAAATATCAAAGCAAACGATTTCATTTTTAGTCAGCTCTACAATAAAGTGCATCTGCCTATGGTGCTATGGAGCCTCATGGGAGATTTAGATCAGTATTTCAGGACTCCATTCAATTTTATGAGCTGGGCACCCTGGCCAGACTACATCACCCATGATGCACCATAGTTTCCCCTCTGACTAAGCTGTGTGTTGCATCATGGGAATCACATTGGTTCAAGACACAGAAACAAAATACTGGAGTTCCCCACAGGATGGAAAGCCTGATTTTTGCTTAGCTTTATATGGCTATTAATACAGAGAACTCAGCAGAGAACAGATAACTCTCCCCCACCCTCCCTGTCAAATCAAAGATGGACAGTGGCAGAAAGAATTTAGAACACAAATATTGTGATGCCGATGGTACCTGCTGGGACGATGACTCTCCTCTCATTGGTGGTCATGTTTGGGGGAGGGCCATTCTTTTCATCCATGTAGGTGCTGTAACTCATCGGGTTGGACTCCGTCCCCGCGCCCACCAGTTTGCTGCATTTGTTAACGCTGCAGTCTACCGGCGACTCCCTGAAACGGGAAAGGTTAGCGTTAGGGTTAGGGTGGAGTAGAAGGGGAGCAAGTTGTAGGTCAGAAACAGGGGGAGTGTCTAGAGGGTACCTTGCACTTCTATATCGCCTGTCATGTGACAGTCCCAGGTAATCTACACACCAGAAACCTCACAGCAGGAGCGTGTTAATTATTACTCTATTAATCTATTAAACAGAAGGATAAACTCATGCACACAGGTGAGCACCCCAAATTCCAGCTGACATCAGTGGCAGCTGCAGATGCTTAGCACCTTTGAAAAATCAAGCTCCAAGTGCCTTGCTCAAGATCGCATAATAAGTCAGTGGCAAAGTTGCGATCCCAATAGCCCGGACTCCCAGTCCTCTAGCCACTGGCCACGCTGCCTCCCTATGAAAGTCTTCCCCTCCTCCCTTCATGTGAAGCAGTGATCTCCAGCCAATGCCACATTGCATTACCCTACTGGAGACAGCCTGCATTGCTTGATATCGCATTAGCGTCTGCAATAGAACAGATGCGACCTGGTGTTAGAAGACCCCAATTGGTTCGTCTCACCCACCAGTTGTGCGGTGTCATAACCTAGATGGTCAACTCGTGGGAGACAAGAACTGACTGTTGTTGGTTTGGTTGGTTTTGGGCTGTTTTTTTTACTGTGTGTCGGTCCAGCATCTAGCGCAAGGCTTTAACCTTTGACTAGTACCTGTAAGCACTACTGCAATATAAATAATAAGAAATACAGCACTCCCTCCCCATTTCGTTATTAAAGGCCACAGAATATCCACACTGGAAACATGGAGCTACAGAATGCTCCCAGGAAGATAATAAAAATGTGATAATGATCATTTATATTATTGCAGTGCCTAGAGATTCGGGCCTCATTGTGCTAGGTGCTGTCCATGTAACCCACTGGGGAATGTGTACTGCAGGTCCCCTTCTGTGCTGATCCGCAGAGGATATCTGTCCATTACAGCCACTAGCTAAGAAGCCTGCGCTGCAGTAGCTCATACTGTAGATTCTCCAGTTTAATTCTTGGTGTGTCAGGGATAGCAGCCACCACATATCTGCAGTAAGAGGCAGTCCCTGGCTGACGAGTTCACAATGTAAATAGAGAAGAGGGAGTTGCCATCAGTTTACAGATGGGGAATTGAGGCACAGTGAGATTAAGGCCCAGATTTTTAAAGGTATTTAGGCCCTGTGGTGCTCAGGGTTGCAGTGCCTAACTGATTTATGAACATAAGTCTCATTTTCAAAAAGAATTTAGGCACTTTGGAGCCAATGACAGTCAATGAGTTTTAGGGTTGCCTACATCACTATTGAAAGTGAGACTGAGGCTCCTAAATCAGCAAGCCTTTGAAATGCTGAGCACAGCAATGCTTAAATACCTTTAGAAATCTGGGCTTAAGTGTGTGGCTGAAGCAAGGGTTGAACCTGGATCCCCGTCCAGTTATCATGTCTGGTCTAGATGCGATAAATCGATCCCCGAATGTGCTCCCCATTGACTCCGGAACTCCACCAGAGCGAGAGGTGGAAGCGGAGTCGACGGGGGAGCCGCGGCCGTCGATCCCACGCCGTGAGGACCCTAGGTAAATCGATCTAAGATACTTCGACTTCAGCTATGCTGTTCACGTAGCTGAAGTTGCGTATCTTAGATCGATCCCCGCCCCAGTGTAGACCAGCCCTTAGCCACATGACCACCCTGCCTCTTTGCCAATAGTGCAAAGAAACAAGCAAAGAAGTGCTTTGGGAGGAAGATACTCACTGCAGGGTAAAGAACATGCCAGTGCATTCATCCCATCCTGGGAGCTAGTTGGGAGGATTTTCCAATATAGAACAGTAAATGAGTTTGTTTCTGAATCTAACAGAGGGTGGGGGAATTACTGAAGTTCAGTGATCATGGCTGGGAGATAAATACTCCACTGAGAGAGTCTAAGGCAGATGGTAATTTTTTCCTCATGTCTTGCCGGGGGAATGTGGCTTGAAAATGGAAATAAGATGTATAACTTACACATGTTTGAGTTTAAGGTTTTACTATTTCGCCTACTGTTTTTCCAGGCAGAGAACCAAAATCCACCTTCGGAGAAGCAAACTGCTGAAGGTTTAATGTCCCATGGCAGCCGGAGCAGAGTCTGAGCAACTGCTGGGACGTCAGGCTTTTCAGAGGGTCCGAGCACTTCCCACTCGCTGCAGAAATGCTCAGTGTCAGGTGTTAAATGCTCCATGTACTGGGAGCAAGAACGGTCCTGTTTGGAGGAGACTAGGGGAAATAACAGCATCCATGCTTGAGCTTTAGGACTCCATCCTGTACAGCGCTGATGGTCTCTAGGAGGTGCCTGGCAGCCTCTACTCTCATTGGCTTCAATGGTTGTTGAGGGGGTTCCACTTCTCTCAGCAACTGGACCTTTCAGCTCAAACTTTAATGGCCCATTTGATGGGTCTGATCCAAACCCCCAGATCTTCGCACTCCCAGATTTGAGGAGGTTTCGATGTCAGGTGAAATCCTGACTCTCATTGATTTCAGCAGAGTCAGGTTTTCACCCCTGGGATCTACCTTACTTCTTACACTGCATCCATCACAGTGCAGTCTGGTTGGCCAGTATCCCTATAATGGACTGACTCAAACCCCACTGTTCTGTACTGCATTTCCCTTGGAAAACATTACTCTGACTTGAGCTTTTCTCTTGCAGATAATAGGGCAATAACATATACATATGTGTGTGTTCATATCTCTCTCTCCCAGATTTGCTCCTGTGAATATCTCTCTCAGAATCCAATCCGCATTAGATATAAACACACCCAGGTGCTTTTTAATAGAGTAAACCAACGCTCCTACTTATGCTATAAGCTCCATAGAGAAGGGAGGGGTTCTTTAGTCTCTCTGCAACATACCATGCATGGCAATGGTGTGTATACCAGTGTACCCATTAATAATGATGACAATGTTGTAAGATGGCTCCAAAGCATTTTCATTATGATTTTGCACCTGGCAAGCACAGACCTCTTCCCCAGCCAAAAGTTCAGCACTGGGGGGCATTGTTGGTAGAAGCTATGCATTTTCCCAAACTGGTATTTGGCAGGAGAATATAAACAACCCATCTTTTGAGAAAAATGCCATGAATTCTTTAATGATTATAAGTGGGCAGGACCTTACTTTAATCACCACTTGCAGCACAGCACCCCCGAACACCAGACTGGACATTAGCTCAATGACCGACCCAGCGCTCCCCAACCAAATCGCATTTGCAACACCTGGATTTCCCGTGAAGGTCTCCCTCCAAGTATAGTCCCAGCCTGGCCTTTTCTAGGACAGGGAATTTGAAAGGATCCCAGCAGAAGGTGGTGTAGCTGCAGGCTATACAAAGAGGAATGCAGTAGAATAACTACAGTGCAGGAGAGAAGCGGTAGAGCCATTCACAGTGAATAGTTTATTCACCGATCACAGCCCCATCCTTCGTTCATTAATTACCCATGAGCAGACTTAGATTTTTTTTATCAATGTGTTCATAATTCAGAATTGTTTATGCGATTCTATTTCAGACGCTGGGTTGCTCCTGGGTTATTCCCGGAGTGTGGGGCTTCAAGTTTTCCAGTGGCTACACAATCCGGAATGAACAGGTGTAGCTCAGCATCGGTCTGGGCAACAAAAATGATTAGGGGTCTGGAGCGCATGACTTATGAGGAGAGGCTGAGGGAACTGGGATTGTTTAGTCTCCAGAAGAGAAGAATGAGGGGGGATTTGATAGCAGCCTTCAACTACCTGAAGGGGGGTTCCAAAAAGGATGGAACTCGGCTGTTCTCAATGGTGGCAGATGACAGAACAAGAAGCAATGGTCTCAAGTTGCAGTGGGGGAGGTCTAGGTTGGATATTAGGAAACACTATTTCACTAGGAGGGTGGTGAAGCACTGGAATGCGTTACCTAGGGAGGTGGTGGAGTCTCCTTCCTTGGAGGTTTTTAAGGCACGGCTTGACAAAGCCCTGGCTGGGATGATTTAGTTGGGAATTGGTCCTGCTTTGAGCAGGGGGTTGGACTAGATGACCTCCTGAGATCCCTTCCAACCCTGATATTCTATGATTCTATGAGGTCAGTGGAGCGAGGCCCATTTGTAGGAGTTCTTTTATGGACACTCACTATGGAAGGAGGGAACCCAAAGAGCATGGGGCTGTGCGGATCCCAACACCCTTCATCCCAACAGCAATGTTCGATTTCTGCTCCTTCCAAGAGGACATCGGGAGCTCAGTGTTTTGGGAAGGGTTAGGCTGGCCTCGCCAAAGCAGACAAGCAGCTAGCCTGGCATTGACAAAGAGCTACTCTGTGCAACCTCACCCAGAGCTCCAGATATGTGGAAACAAAGCAACCACTGTACCAGGGCCTCTGTCTAGGAATCACCCTGAGCTTGAGTTTGAATTAGCAAAATAAGGGATTCCAGTGATTTCGGAAACTCACTCAGCAGGAGATTTCCACTTTTTTCTCTTCCTTTCCTCTCCCCTCTTATCTCTTCTCCCTTCTCTCCTGTTCCTACTTCTTTCATCTTCTTTTTTATTCTTCTCCCCACACTATGTCCTTTTGTCTCTTCTCCCCTCTCCTCCCTGTTACTCATCTTTCCTTCTCCTTCCCCTCCTGTAGTGGCCCAGATTACTGGGACATCCTTAAATGAATGTGCTGACTTGGTATTAATGTAACTAACACCTTCACACTGAATGGGCATCTAAATATCACTTTGGATCACTTGATGATTACCTGTTCTGTTCATTCCCTCTGAAGCACCTGGCTTTGGCCACTGTCGGAAGACAGGATACTGGGCTTGATGGACCTTTGATCTGACCCAGTACGGCCATTCTTATGTTCTTAAACATCACTGACTGGGGCTCCCCAAGTCCTGCCCTGGAGGGAAATTTTGGGATTATGGTCTCTTCTCCAATTGTTCAGAAGTTCTGTCTGGAATCTGAAGGGGCTCTTCCCACTACATTACACTCTCCTTGCCCCCTTCTCATTCTCTCTTGGACT